TACCACCATGCAAGCCACCCATAAGATATGGGAGATGACCTAAAGGACAAGACAATGGCACAGTCTATGATAAGAGCCTGACTAGGAAATGAGGACTGGAGTGATCCTTTTGGCCAATGTTTTCCATGGAGTCTTGGAATTGATGTTATTGCACCCAAAGTCCAGTGTCTTAATCTGTTGGCAAAATAGACTCACACTGAATTTTTCCATTCTAGAGTTAACTCGTTCCCTAAATACTTGACAGTTGAAAAAAATTATTAGCAGAGACAAGAAGGACAAGGATAACATGGAAAATAGCGTCCATTCCATGGACCCATGGCCAAGGTTAAATTACAATAACAAAGAAGGCCAGAGCTTTTTATTTATTGCTACTTTATATGATTTGTGGGCAGATTGTTGTTTTTCGGGTTTTTTGTGTTTTTTTTTTTTTTTTTTTTTTAAACTTTCCAGGAAGGAAAAATTTGTCAAGTTCATGAAAACCTACGTATTCAAGGACTCATTAATCTTAAGGCTAAGGGTAAATCTTGTTTTTAGAATCATATAAATATAGATTTGAGATCAAGATTAGTCAAACACTTAACTTTTGGAAGATGTAATAGTGCGCTCCCTTTAAATCTGTATATTGGCACTGAAGTTCCCCGGTAATTCTTCCAGAGAAGCACGCGGTGGGCTCCCTGAGTGCTCGTCCTGGCTTGAGACTGTTCTCAACTGCTCTGGAGACGTGCTCTCAGCTGAACGCTTGTGCTTTGGCAGTTCTTCATGGAGAGCTCTGTACGTGCTACGCGCTAGAAGCAATTGTGTAGAGCCGGCCTTCCTGCAGCCTGGTTGAGGGCTCTTCCCTCAAGTAAAAAAAAAGCAGCCAACTTGCAAACTTAGATTGAGATCCAATATTAAGGATGACAGCGGGATGTAGAGAAGTGAAGATAAAACTTTCTTGATGTCTCCCAGAGGCAGAGGGGAGTAGAGTGGTCAGAAACTCAGTTCTTGGTTCAGACAGACTTGGGTTTGACTCTCAGCAAAGACCCTTCCTAGCTTGGTGACACTGGGACACCTTAGTTAACTTCTTAAAGTCTTTGTTTTCTTAT